GGACAATTTCCATATAAAACAAAGCCAAACGAATAGAAAATTTAAAAATTTTCCGGGTGGAAAATTATACCAATCAAACACACTTGAAATCAATTTCTCTGCAAAACATTTTCTAGGCAAAACTTTTCTCTGTAAAACATTTTCTTTCCACCCATTTTCCACCCTTGCAATCAAACGCACCCTTAGATTAAGCGGATGAGGCCACATGTAATGTAATCAACGGTCTCAATCCATCTTGTAATACTATAAATAGTTCCCACCATATAACAAGAAAGAGATGATGAAATTTAGACAAAAGATTATAACTTGAACGAGGCAATACACATTATTCTCTCTTATGCATTAAACGGTTCATAATTTTGATGTTGGTATTCTTGTTCCCTTAGGTTCACATGTTTGTTGGGAGGAAGAGAATTTCATATTATTTGTTGTACATCCATATCTAAATTCAAGCTCATCAGTTTGCTCTCGTGATTGTGTTTCTTCATTTCATTTTCATTTTGGCATATGACGATAGAACTTGCAGTTACTAAGCCAAGACAAATACTTCGGCTTTTGATCCATGTTTCGTGGAATCTCATTAAGAGAAAATTCAAAAATTTAACTAGATAAGTGAAGGTGAGCAATGGCAGTACAGTAGTACCTTAACTTACAGCTCGTATTTACCTCCTTCATCAAAGCCCATGGCAGGGTAGGTGAAGGCCGTCAAGAATGCGGTTCATCCTTTTTATTAACACGGAGAGATGCTGCAGGTCCAGATCTTAAATGATTCCGGCAATCATCAAATTTAGGTGAGCCAGTCATCAACTTCTAGAAATTTCCCTGCGTTTTAAGTAGTAATAATGAAGTTACCTACCAGTACATTTTATTTCTTATCAAATACTCTAGGAGTGGTAGTCCCTAACATGGGCGGACCCAATGCAGGTCCACTGCACTGGACTTTGGGCCGTAACCAACCAGGCCCAAGTAAAAAACCTAAAAAAAATAAAAGGGAAATTACAAAAAATCGGGTGTATAATTTACACAAATTCAAAAATCGGGCTGAGAGTTTATTTATTCAAAAATCAGGTATTTTATTTTAAATATTAATCACTTAATCTATTCAAACCCTAAACTAATTCATTTCTCTCTACTCGCTCCCATTCTATTCATCTCTCCATTCTCTCAGCCGCCGCCTCCACCGCCACCGTCAGAGTCTNGTATTTTATTTTAAATATCAAACCCTAAATCTATCCAAACCTTAAAATAATCCATATCTCAACTCTCTCTCTCTCTCTCACACCATTTCTCTCCACTCTCTCCACCGACCACGCCTCCATCCCCTCCTCCCCATCCCCCTCCACCTCCACTCTACCTCGTCCCTCTGGCGATTCTTCACGACGCTCGTGTGCGTCGATTATAGGCGCAGCATCGGCCACCGTGCTTGATGCACCAACACCTCACCTATCGTAAGCAGCGATGTGCACGTCCATCATCGTTTCTCTTTTTCTCTTTTTTTCCTCCTCTACTTTTGTTTCTCTGGTTGGTGTGGGGGTGGTGCGGTGGTTTGGGGATTTTTTGCACTGGTTGTTGACTTGTGGTGGTGCACCTTTTTTTTTACGGCGACTTGCACGATCTTTCTTTATCTAACGTCACTGCTCTTTTCTGGTGACTTCTCTCCAACACTGCGCTGCACCACTATGTATAGGTGGTTTTCTGATATATGGTTGGGTAGTTTTTTTGTACGTGTGGTAGTGTTAGAAGAAATGGTGGATTTTAGCAGGCAGTA